ACCCCAGAGAAACACAAACAACCATCAGGGAATATTATAAACACCTCTTGCATACAAAGTAGAAAATTTAGAAGAAATGGATAAATACCTGGACACATACACCCTCCCAAGACTGAACCAGAAGAAATTGAATCCCTAAAGAGACCAATAATGAGTTCTAAAAGTGAGCCAATAATGGATAGCCTACCAACCAAAGAAAGCCTAGGACCAGATGGATTCACAGCTGAATTCTGCCAGAGTTACAAGGAAGAGCTGGTACTATTCCTACTGAAACTATTCCAAAGAATTAAAAAGGAAGTCTTCTCCCTATCTTATTTTATGAGGTCAGCGTCATCCTTATACCAAAACCTGGCAGAGATGACAAACAGTAAAATTCAGGCCAATATTCTTGATGAACACTGATGCAAAAATCCTTAACAAAATACTGTTAAGCTGAATCCAGCAGCACATCAAAAAGCTTATCCAGCATGATCAAGTAGGTTTCATCCCTGGGATGCAAGATTGGTTCAATATATGCAAATCAGTAAATATGTTTCATCACATAAACAGAGTTAATGACAAATACCACATGATTATCTCAATAGATAGATAAAACGTCTTTGATAAATTCAACATACATTCAAATTAAAAACTCTCAAAAGCTATATATTGAAGGAATATACCTCAAAATAATAAAAGCCATATATGACAAACTCATGGGCAATATCCTACTGAATGGCAAAAGCCAGAAGCACTACCCTTGAAAACTGTCACAAGACAAGGATGCCCTCTCTCACTACTCATATTCAACATAGTATTGGAAGCTCTGGCCAGGGCAATTAGGCAAGAGATGGAAATAAAGCATATTTAAATAGAAGGAGAGGAAGTCTAATTATCTTTGTTTGCAGATGACTTGATTCTATAGGTTGAAAACCATATTGTCTCAGCACAAAAGCTTCTTAAGCTGATAAGCAACTTCAGCAGAGCCTCAGGATACAAAATCAATGTGCAAAAGTCACTAGCATTTCTGTACACTAACAATAGACAAGCCAAGAGCCAAATCACAAATGAACTTCCATTTACAATTGCCACAAGAAGAATAAAATACCTATGAATATAGCTAACAAGGGAAGTGAAGGACCTCTTCAGGGAGAACTACAAACCACTGCTCAAAGAAATCAGAGATGACAAACAAATGGAAAAATATTCCATGCTAATGGGTAGGAAGAATCAATATCATAATAATAGTCATATCGTCTAAAGCAATTTACAGCTAGTGCTCGACTTAACGACCAAGATTGGTTCCGACAGACCGGTCGTAACATGATTTGGTCGTAAGTTGAGTAGGCTGTATGCACGTGGAGATGGTAGTGCTGCTGGAAGCTGGTCCGCACTGTCGTACGCCCAGCTGGGCAACGTTTGCGCTGCCAGACGTGGAGCAGTCGTGGCTAGCGATTGTGGTCGTAAAGTCGAATGGTCGTAAGTTGCATAGGTCGTAAGTTGATCAATCAATACCTGTATAGATTCATTGCTATTCCCCTTAAACTACCATTAAGATTCTTCACAGAATTTGTAAAAACTATTTTAAGATTCATATAAACCAATAAAGAGCCCAAATAGCCAAGGCAATCCTAAGCAAAAAGAGAAAAACTGGTGGTATCACATGACCCAACTTTATACTGCAGGGCTGCGGTAGCCAAACAGTATAACCAAACAGCATGGTACTGGTACAATAACAGACACATAGACCAATAGAACAGAAAGAGAACACAGAAATACACCCACACACCTACAAACATCTGATCTTTGACAGACCTCACAAAACAAACAGTGGGAAAAGAATTTCCTTTTTAATAAATGATGCTGGGAGAACTGGCTAGTCATATTCGGAAAATTGAAACTGGGCTTCTTCCTTAAACCATATACAGAAATCAACTCAAGATGGAATAAAGACTTAAATGTAAAGCCCATAACTATAAAAACGGTGGAAGAAAACCTTGGCAATACCATTCAGGACATAGGCATAGGCAAAGATTTCCATGATGAGGATGTCAAAAGCAATTGCAACAAAAGCAAAAAATTGACAAATGGGATATAATTAAACTAAAGAGCTTCTGCACAGCAAAAGAAACTATCAACAGGGTAATCCAACAACCTACAGAATGAGAGAAAATTTTTGCATTTTATGCATCTGACAAAGGTCTAATATCCAGCGTCTATAAGGAATTTAAATTTACAAGGGAAAAAAACAACCCCTTTAAAAAGTGGGCAAAGGACATCAGATATCTCTCAAAAGAAGACACACATGCAGCCAACAGACATATGAAAAAAGCTTAATATCACTAATAATTAGAGAAATGCAAAAACATAATGAGATATCATCCCATACAAGTCAGAATGGTTATTATTAAAAAGTCAAAAAAACAACAGATGCTGGTAAGGCTGTGGAGAAAAAGGAACATTTTTACACTGTTGGTGGGAGTAAATTAGTCCAACCATTGTGGAAGACAGTGTGGTAGTTCCTCAAAGACCTAGAGGCAGAAATACCATTTGACCCATCAATCCCATTACTGGGCATATACCCAAAGCAATAGAAATCATTCTATTGTAAAGACACATGCACACATATGTTCATTGGACCAGTATTCACAGTAGCAAAGACAAAGAATCAATCTAAATGCTCATCAATGATAGACTAGATAAAGAAAATATGGTATATGATATAATGAAATACTATGCAGCCATAAAAAGGAATGAAATCATGTCCTTTGCAGGGACATGGATGGAGCTGGAGGCCATTATCTTTAGCAACCTGATGCAGGAACACAAAACCAAGTGCCACATGTTCTTTCTTGTAAGTTGGAGCTAAACAATGAGAACACATGGACACTAGGCAGGGAAAAACACACCCTGGGGCCTGTTGGAGGCCAGGGGCTGGGAGGAGTAAGAGGATCAGGAAGAATAGCTGGGCATAATACCTAAACGATGGGATGATCTGTGCAGCAGGCCACCCTGGCACAAGTTTAACTGTGATAACAAACCTGCACATTCTGTCATGTATCCCTGAATTTAAAATAAAAGATAAAGTAAGTAAATTAATTAGAGGCAAAAACCTCGTTTTTAAAGATGTTTGCTTCAAATAATTCTTAAAATCATAAACCCATAAAATGTATTCTAAACCTAGAATATTCTCTAGGTACTTTACTCTTTTATTTGAATGTTTTGAAAAGTGCCAGAGATAAGATTAAGATATATATATATATATTTGTCTGTTTATCCTGATCATTCATTTTGTACCAGTCACCAATGAGCTTCTGAATTTAAGTTATATAGGGCATTAAACTCAACAAATCTGGGCAACATTTATTTAATGTCTTTATCTTCAATATTGCAAAAACAGCAGGGACTTAAAAAGAATGATCTCTTCACTTAAGGAAGAGTGGGAGAGGAAGTCATAATCACACTGAGGACCAGCCCAGTGACAGTTACTCCCTCACTTACAATAATGTATGTATATATTCGAATAATGTGTCTCAGTACTCTGATAGATGTATGTACAGGGTGTCACTGGAGTATGAAAGAGAGGTTGTTTCCTTAGGGGAAGTGGTAGAGCCAGTGAGGAGAGAATAGCTCCCTAGCAGAACTAATGCTTGCTTTGCATCCTGGTGGGATAGGACCATACTTTCAGAACCACTGCTATACATCTAACTGAGAGAAAAGGGGAGGGAAAAGGCATACAGAATTTATGGACCAGGCCTAGAGATGTCATACTTTAAATTTTCCCACATTTTATTGGCTACAACTCAGCCACATGGCTTCATCTACCTGCAAAGGAGGTGGAAACTGTGTTCTAACTGTGAACTTAGGAAAATGAGAGAAATGGTTGGTTTACAACCCTACAGTCTCTGCCACAGGGGGGCATGGCTGTTCGTATAATAAGGAAACAGGGAGGGGCTAGGAAAGACAACTCATTACAAGTTAATTTGCTTGGGCATGTCCTTAAGAAGAGCAGGGTGCATTGTTTCCTAGAATGAGAAATGAGAATATATTAACAAAAGAGTTCCTTATAAATCTTTATGTGTGATGGTGACTATGGTGCTAGAAAGTTAAGCATAAATCTATTTGATATCATTAATTAGTGTTGAATGACTGCTAAATTTCAGAAAGTAACACTTAATGCTTTGGCATACATGAAATACTGTTTTAAATAAGAATGTTCTATTTATATATTTCTCTGAAGTAAATTTCAGGTAAAATCTATGATTATTTATTCTGAAGTTATATGAAGACTGCTTTTATGGAAGGGGAAATACAACATAATGATTTTGAATTGTGCAGTAAGCTCTATAAGCATGGGAAGCTAATGGACAATAGTAAAAATAATATCCAGCGTTTATTAAACATGCACCATGTACTTTGTCTTACAAAATGGGACTTAGGGGATTAAATATAGGTTACCAGTATTGTATAAGCATTTTCAAGTTATTAACTCATTTAACCCTCACAAAAATCCTATGAACAAAACAGGTATTTTTAGTATTATCCCCATTCCACAGATAACTGAGGCACAGAGGGATAGTTATTTGTCTAGACAGCTAGTAAGTAGCAGAATTGATATTTACATCCAAATAGTCTGCCTTTAGAGGCCAGTGTCATATCTACTATTGTGTACATCCCTGAAACTAGAGCCAAAACTGAAGAGACAGGAACAAAGGGTAGGAAGCTCAGTCGATCTGTGTGTTTCCACTGCAGTAGACTTGGGGCAGCCATGTGGTGTACAAGCCATGCATTTTGTCCATGAACATAGCGTGGTAAGCAATGGCAGCATTTATTAATCGGAACTTATTTTCCTGTTCAGTAAGGCCTAGCCCTTGGCAGACTATTTGCTCTTCCAGTTGCTATACCTGTCCTGGTTTAGATAACACTGTATATATGCTCCCAAACTGTTGGGAGAACCCCAGAATAAAACACGTAATTCATGTTTTTGTCACATATCTGAGCAATTTCTTTTTCTTCCACAGACAGAACTGTCCTTGTGGATACAGATCTTCCATTCTTCAAAGGGCTGTATGTGATGGGGACCTTAGACTTCCCTGTGGACAGAAGCAATGTTCTGAGTGTGGCATGCATGGTCATTGCAGGTGGAGAGCTGAAAGTTGGTGAGTAAAGGCACAAGGATTGTAAGCATGTTGGGAATTATACTCTGTGAGAAGGGGCTCTGGGAAACAGATGGTATCATCAAGTATGTTGCTTAAGAGTTTTGGGAGGGCTAATGAAGTAGTGAGTGTACTAGTAAAGTTAGTTTTGGGCAAGCTTTCCACGTGGCTAGAGGTGGCTTGTATTGGTTATTCTCTCATGCCCGTGCACTGTCATCAGGCTACATTTCTAGTCCACCTGCTGCTGCTCATTCCAGGGCATATTTTTACCTCCTGCAGGCTACAGATCAATTCTTCCTTTAGTTTTTTTTTTTTTTGTGTGTGTGTGTGTGTGTGTGTGTCACAATATGCCTTTAACTCACTCTTTCAGAAGATATCATAGGATGGATTCGATATCATCTGATCAACTAACTTACAGTAAAATTTCAATCACTGTCTTAACATAATTTCCTGGGAAAACAGACTTGAAGGCAAAGCTTTGTGCTAGTACTTTACTTGGACAAACAATCCCAAAGAAGTGAGAGTGAAGGGAAAAGAAAAACAAGGAGGAAAAGCAGGAAAGCAAATACAAGGTAGCCAAAGCTTCTCAAAGAAGCATGCTTGGTTTGCATGGTTATGTGGGGTATCTTGAGAGAAGCCTTTTAAGAACTACCATATCTTGGGACAATACCGGGCAGGTAGTGAGGAGAAGTATCTCACCTGGTCCATTCCACACCATTGAACTCCTCTGTCTTTGCTATTTTTGTGGCTCCCTGGGCAGCTAGTGGAAGGACCAGAGACTCAGTAGGTGCTAGGAGTTGAGGCTCCCCTTGCTGGTGAGTGGAGCATTTTGTTGAGGCCCCAGGACAAGCAGAATGGAATGATCTGGGGTAGTGTATTAACAAGATTTGGCTTACTTAAATAAAAATACCTAAAATGTTATGGGTAGACTGTATAATTAGAACTGTTGTAAGCAATAAGTATAAATGCTGAAAAGACATGTACCCTGTCTCCAAAGGAACTACTTTAGAATTTTAGTAAGGCATTCTACTTGGGCCCCAAGAAGAAGATTAAAAGAGAATTCCCAGATAAAAAAATCATATATTCCAAATAAATATATCTCTGGTGGTAAGGAAATATTTAGATATCATTGTTAGGTAGCATGAAAACTTTAGAATCTCTGTTGGGAGAAAATTCTAGGTCTAATTACCTGTATAAAGCTTAAGTCACTGTAAGAAGATTTCTGAAAAAAATATGGTCAGTCCTTTTCTTGAATACCTCCAGTGATAAAAAAAAAAATCAAAACCTTTCAAGGTAACCTGTTCCCACTGTTTAAACTCCTATTAGAATTATTTTTGTTCTATTAAGCCAAGGTCTACCTTCCTCCAGTTTCTGTAGGTTCAGGTTCTTCCCCTTGAGCCATTCAGGACAAGTACCATACTCCCTTTAATTCTATAGCACTTCATTCACATCTTCTTGAATATTTTCTTTTTTAGGTCACACAGTTTCTATTATTTTAACCATGGTTCATAGTTATTGCTATTTTGAGTATTTTTTAAATCTATGGTACAAAACTGGAAATGCAGAAATACAAATAGAATTATATGGTGGAAATGAAGTGATCACTCATATTTCCAAGCGCAAATATAACCACAATTAATATTTTGATGTTTTATCTCAAAATCATATTTTTCTTACACACACACACACACACACACACACACACACACACACACACACAGATGCACACATATATTTCAAAATGTAGGATGTATACTTTGATTTTTTTGATCCTATATACGCAATGTAAGAATATCCCCAACTCATTATATTTCAAAGGCCCAACTTTAATAATTTCAACATCATATAATACATGGGAATATATAGATATACGTGCATGTATAATAATATAGCCATTTTTCTACAGTTAAGCATCTAAGTTATTTCAGATTTTTGTCCTTGTAACTCACTCTGCAATGAACATTCAATAATTAAATCATTATTCATATCATCATTTCCTTAGGATGGGCTTTTAAACGTGAAATTAATGGGCCTAAGGATAAGAACATTTTGTAGAGTTTTTAATACATGCTGCCAAATTGCTTTTCAGAAAAATTTTACAAATTTGTACACCCCATTTCCCATAGTTATGAGATTCCCTTCTTCTTGCTGGCATTGCCTCTAAACAAAATTTTGTTTTGTTTAATTCCTCTGAAGCCAGGGAGAAAGAACCATTCCCAGGTGGGATCTGACTATTCTGAACAGAGTGAGAGGAGTATAGCAGTTAACAGAATGGGCTCTAAGTCAGATGGTGGAGGGGCCAAATCTACCTTGGCCACCTGTTGGCTGTTTGACCTTAAGCAAGTCAACCTTGGGGTACCTCCATTTCTTCATCTGTAACATATATAGGGTAACAACAGAACATTCCTCAGAGGGATGTTAGCCATAACAGCTCATAGGAAGTGCTTGGTAGATAGTAGGTGTTCAGTAAATGTTTATCAACCAGGGTGACCACAGAAAATATTTGTCATATGCCTTGGACAGTTTGAAAGGATTTAAATAAAGTAATGATTCACAAAGATCCAAATAGGATGAGGCATACCCTAGGGCTAGTAAAACCAGTTATCCTTACTACCTCTTGCCATATAGGATTGAGAAAAGAATGTTACCGGAACCCAGAGATGAAGAGGGATGTCTAGAGATGGTTGTCAGACCATCCCAGAGGCATGCTCTTTGTATGGCTGGGATTCAACCAGTGCAAGGAGAGAACTACAGGAATAAACACTCTTACCTCACTCTTTTGCTTCCCTACTGTCTTCTGCTTATGCTACCATTTGGCCACATCCGACTGGAAGTCAGAGTAGAGGAGAACTCATTGATTCAGTACACATAGGTCAGCCACATCCTGGGGCACTGGGTAGGGTGGGGAAGCGCAGAGTTTGGAAATGGAGGTGTAAACAGAAGCTCTCCAGCACAGTCAGCCTCCAGCTATCAGAACAGATATGATTCTTCTGTTAATACAGCCAAATATTAAACTGACTTCTTTTTCCAGCCGTGTCATGCCGTTAGTCCTGCCAACTACACTGTCGGCTCTAATTCCTGCTCTTTTTATTTGTGCTGCCACAAATACATATCTCTACATTGTACAGTTGTGTTGGGCTTATTTTGTTTTCCCTTGGGTTTTGGGGGAATCTAAGGGCATTACTTTTTACCTATCTCTTCATTTAATTATTTCAGTTCATCTTTCTACACTGGAGATATTCTCTTGAAGCCTGGTCTTTTCCTTGCAGGTTACTATCATTTGCCCATTTGTTTAGCATTCTATAAAATCCTCATCCAATTGATTGAAAGATATTAAATAAAACTGAGCCCTGCTGTTGTTGCTGCAAAACTTATTTCCAGTTGATATCTTCTATTGCTAAGATTGATCTCTTTTTTAGTAAGTTATATTTAGATTTCTAAGGTCACTCATTACTATAATACATAGCTTGCAGCCTGAAAAATTTGTACCTTTGAAGGGAAGTGACACTGTGCCACTTTCCAGTTATACTTTATACATTTCAAATCTCATTATATAATTTCTCCATTCCCAATTCTATTTTTTACCCATCACTGGATAGTGGTGTATTCTTTTTCTCTCTGTTTCATCCATGTGTTCTGGGCTTAAAGGTTACATATTGGAACCCATCTGCCCAATCCTATGTATATTATGCCTGAAGGAAGACTTTCAACCCATCTGTCCAATTTTACCACACCCTAAAGAAATTCCAACATGAAACAGATAATAAGACTAGTTAGTCAACAAACTTAATAGATGTAGACATTGGCACAGAGTCCAGCCAGAGCATGTCTGCTATCTGATGCCATTTGATTCGAGTCCCAACATTATGGAATTACATTTTTTGGTGGTCCTGCTTTTTTTTTTTTAGATGGAGTTTTGCTCTTGTTTCCCAGGCTGAAGTACAGTGGTATGATCTCAGCTCACTGCACCCTCCTCCTTCTGGTTTCAAGTGATTCTCCTGCCTCAGCCTTCCGAGTAGCTGGGATTACAGGCACCTGCCACCACGCCTGGCTAATTTTTGTATTTTTAGTAGAGATGGTGTTTCACCATGTTGGCCAGGCTGGTCTCGAACTCTTGACCTTGTGATCTGCCAGCCTCAGCCTCCCAAAGTGCTGAAATTATAGGCATGAGCCACTGAACCTGGCCCGTGGTCCTGCTTTTAAGGCAACTGGTGCTGGCAAAGGTATCAATGGACTTTTAATAGAGTTGAATCATAGAATGCTAGAATTAGAAAGGCAGCTCAAGATCAAAGCTTTGCTTAGAGGGCCACAGCTGCATCACAAATGACAAACTCAATTTCATTCCTTGTTCAGTGCTTGTCTCATTAGTCTGATAAAACACTTGAGATAAGTTTACAGCATTTCACATCATGTATGTCCATTCTTTCATTTACAATGTGTTTACTCAGTGTGTACCATGTACCAAGTACCATGGGCGATACTGGGTATATAGAAACAGAAATCATGAACCCAAACTTTCAAGAGGTGTCTCAATAAAATAGTGTGACTAAGGAGTGAAAACATGATTGGAAGGGTCATGCCTTCCAACCTAGAGGGAGCTTAAAGGTAAAGAAAGAGATGTGAACAGGCACATATTTCATGAACATTATATCTTCAGGAAACTGTAGGGGATGGCTATGTCTGGATTGTAGGCTTTGTATAAAATGGTAGTAGTAGATGAAGCACTTTGGCCTGATATACTAGGCTAAGGAGTTTGGATTTTCCTATGAAGGCAGTGGGTAGTAATTGGATGGTTTTAAGCAAAGAAGTGACATGATTAAATTTGGTCTTAGAAAAATTAGTGCTAGAAGTGTAGAGAATGAACTTTAAAGGGACAAAGTGAAAAGTGAGAAGCCTACTGAGATGTTTCAGGAAAGAAATTGTAAGGGAGTGAACTAAGGTACAGGAGTTAAAGAGGAAAGAATGAATTAGAGAAGTACTGAGGAGGTAAAAATCACTAGAAC